TCCCTCAAACAGACAGTGCTGTGTGAGCTGGTGCATTGTCGTGATGCAGGAGCCGTAAATTGTTGGCAAAAAGTTCAGGTCGTCTAACTTTTTCATGCAGCCTTTCAGCACTTGCAAATAGTAAACATGGTTAACTGTTTGTCCAGCTGGTACAAATTCATAATGAATAACCCCTCTGATGTCAAAAAAGGTTAGCAACATCGTTTTAACTCTTGATTTGGACTGACGGAGCTTTTTTGGTTGTGGAAAATTGGCTGACTTTCATTGTGCACTTTGACGCTTTGGTTCAGGGTCGTATTGGTGCACTCGTGTTTCATCACCAGTGATAACATGGCCCAAAACATCGTCTTGCCTCTCTAATGGTAGCATTAGCATTCATTTGATTATTGCCATCTTTTGAGCAAACGTCATACTACACATTGCTACCATAATTCAATTCAACTTTGAAAAGTAATACATAGATAACATCTCTTAAAGTGTGTATACGCCTTTTGGCACCCCCCATATATGGTCACGGGATGTAAAGTACAGCATACAGAATATAATTGATTGGGTTGTAATAGTTATATATGGTGTCAGATGGGTAGTAGACTTGTTGGGGTTATCACTTTGTGAAGAGTGTAAATGTCTAATCCTTACACTGTTTTGTACACCTAAAACTAATATGAAAGACAGAGGGGGAGGAAAGAGAAGGGAGTGGAGGGGAGGGGAACGGACGGGAGGAAGGAAACTCTTGCACTCAAGGAATACATGCTCCGTTAGACAACACTAAACCATCAAATATTAAATTAAAGGTAGCACAAAAAAAGTGAATATTCCACCTTGTGTTGCTCCAGAAGGGAGGGTTCACTGACAAAATGGTATCTGAAAAAACAGCATTTACAGATGCACAAAATCATGAAATAATAATAAACATTCATTGAACACTTACTTTGAGCCATGAACATCTAGAATTACTAAAATTGTCTACCCTTCAAAATATAAACTTAAAATTAAACTATTCAGAATAACCTAAGAATCCGTACTGATTTAAATAGTTCATAAAACTAAGCTGTGTACTTACTCGCAAAAGACACTATCAATCTCCTTCATTATTATGAATCTGGAAAAGTAAGTCAAAAAGAAAGAGGCAGAATGCTAGAGACTAAATGTGTCTCCCTAAAATTCACATGTTGAAACCTAATCCCCAATGTGATTGTTTTAAGAGGTGAGACCTTTGGGGGATCCACCCGCATGAATGGGATTACTCCCTATAAAAGAAGCTCCAGAGAGATCCCTGGCACCTTCCACCATGTGAGGACACAGCACAAAGATGCTGGCTATGAACCAGGAAGCGAGCCCTCACCAGACACTGAATGTAATGAACTTTTAGCCTCCAAAACTATGAGAAATTAATTTCTGCTGTTTATAAACCACCCAATCTATGGTATTTTTGTTAGCAGCCTGAACGGACTAAGACAGCAACTAGTTATCACAATTCTCGTGATTATATAACAAATTCATGGAATTCATAAGCCCAAGAATTACAGGCACTTAAATATAGGTAAAACCATTACCAGAAATTTGTTAGTCAATAGATCATTTTATTTCCTGAAAAGGGGTACCCTTGAAATCAAGGACCCATACCAGTGACATTCTAGGAAGGACATTAGTCAGACTACTGGAATAGTTATCAGGCATTTGTAAACATTTCTGGTTGCCCATTGTGTGCCAGGTATGTGTTAGAACCTGGTGTTACAGGTTGAACTGTCTCCCCAAAATTCATTCATATGTTTAAGCATCTTAGAATGTGACCCTATTTTGAGATAGGGTCTTTACAGAGTTAAAGTTAGGTCTTTAGGGTGGACCCTAATATAGTATGACAGATATCCTTATAAAAGGAGAAATCTGGACACAGAAACAGACATTCAGGGAGGGATGACAATGTGAAGAGACACATGGAGAAGACAGCCATCTACAAGCTAAGGAAAGAAGCCTGGAGCAAATCCTAAAAGAAACCAACTGCAATACCTTCATTTTGGACTTCTAACCTCTAGAACTGTGAAATAATAAGTTTCTGTTGTTCAAACCACCTACTTCGTGGTACTTTGTTATGGCAGTTATAGCAAACTAATACACCTACAATTTAAAGATGAGCAAATGAGGAGAGTCTGACCTCCTGGGGCAATGGGGAGAAAACCAAGTCAACACACAATTTTCAAAAATTCAGTAATGCCTCACAAGGAGCAGATTTCTGACCTCAATAACAAAAATTTTGAAAAAAAAAATTTTGCAGGGTATTTAAAAATAAACTCTGTGGGTCGGCCGAGTGGCGCGATGGTTAAGAACTGGCTTGGGATGCCAGAGGACCCCGGTTCAGATCCCACATCTGAGGGCCAGTGACACTGCCCTCCACAGCTAAGATGCTGAACAACAGCTCAACCTGGAGCTGGGCTGCTGTGAGTCGCCGGTGACGGCATGGGCTGATGCCCCTGTGGCAGTGAGTTGCCAAGGGCTACCGTGTGTGGCCAGCAGCCAGCGTGAGCGGCCGGCAGCCGCAGTGAGCGGCCGTCCAGAGGCCAGCGACTGATCTGCCTCACCCAGGAGGAGTGCAATGATGGTGCCAACTTGGGCCAGTGAAGCAATGTCCTCAACTAGACTGAAGAACAAAATGACAGCAACTTGTCTGTTCCCCTTCCCCCAATTCCCCAGCGCTGTTCCCATTCCCCCAATTCCCCAATAAAAATCTTTAAAAAATAATAATAATAATAAAAATAAATAAATAAACCCTGTTTCCTTTTTATTTCATAATATCCTTATGTTTGGTAAATACACTTTTTTTTAAGTTCTGTCTTTTTCAGAACATCACTATCTCCAAAGGTTCCAGCCTCTTTTAATTTCAACTTTTTATCTTCTTTCATCTCCCTTGAACCTTCCGCCAAGATCCTTTGCTAACATTCATATGCTGTCTTCTCTCACCCCTTTCCATCTCCTCTATTTCCTCCCCTTTTCAGTCTTCTCTGATTCCCAGTGCCTAACAGATGAGGACAGAGAGACATGGAGATATGTCTCTGCCTTTTTTGCACACTTTTCAGCTCTGATAAAAATATTACTTCCAAACCCTGAAATTTCTGTTAATAGCCTGTCTTTAATACTTTAGAAGCTACTATTTTAAAAATGAACCAGTTCTAAGAAATGCCTTGAATCTCTTTTTCTACTGTTTTCCCAAAAATAAGACCTAACTGGAAAACAAGCCCTAGCATGATTTTCAGGGTGCTTGTAATATAAGCCCTACCCCAAAATAAGCCCCAGTTAAGGTCATCAGCCAGACATGACTATATTTGAATAAATGTAGATTTTTGTAAATGAATAAATGAATAAAATGCATCTTTTTGGAGCAAAAATTAATGTAAGACCCGGTCTTATTTTCAGGAAAACATGGTATCAATTTCTATTTGTAAGCTTTTATTAAATTATTAACAATACTTTCTTGCCTTAACAAGCTGCTGATGCTGTAAATAAAGCAATTATTCATTGATATAAGCTCTTTCAATCTTTAAGAATATATCGATCATTCTACGGAATGGAAAGTACAGCAGAGTGGATAAAATATATATTGGCATGGGGAAATCATTCCAAAAAATCCTTTGTAATTAAATAAATTAACATAAAATTAACAAAAATAGCCATACCAGAAGCGATGTGTGACATGGAGCCTTTCCAATGTGATCAAGAAATACGGTGGATGCGACTGCAGAGTGCCATCCAATGAAAAGGCAGGGATCTTCAATATGGGAAGCAGTGCTATCAAACCTTAGTTAACAGTGTGTGACAAGTTTCAACTTGCTGGGTGCATGTAGTTGGGTGTGAGCTATGGTTGAGAGAAGGTGTGCTTTTTAAAGTGTTCCTTAAATCACCCTCAATCATGACAACGCTTGATGGTCACATATCGCTTCTGGTATACGACAATTTCTGTCAAATAAAAACATTACAGTGTGTCCTCATCCACCTTATTCACCAGATCTGGCACAGTGCAACTTCTGGCTCTTCACCGAAGTCAAAATGACCATGAAAGGTAAACGTTTTAACTGATTCAGGACATCGAGGCAGGCACGATAGCTCAACTAAAGACACTCACGAAAGAGGACTTCCAGAACTGCTTCAGAATAGGCAAGAATGATGGGATAAGTGTGTTTGAAGCAAGAGGGAGTATTTTGAGGGGGATTAATGGCAATGTTTCTTTTATTGTAATAATTTTTTTTAAACATTCACTATATTGTTTGATCACACCTCATAAGTGTTTAAAAATACTTAATTTTACTAAAGTCTCTTTAGTGTAGGTGACCCTATATAACAGGTTCTGGTCAAAAACAGAGGTCCTGGAGAGGGAATTCCTTCCCAGAGGAAAAGTTCACTTGGAGAAAATACTCAGACCTTACACTCTTCCCAAATTAAGCTTGGAGAATTCAGCTTCCATCTCAGAACTACAAGAGCTCACCCCACACTAAGTATACAGAACCCATAACAAGCCTGGCTCCTGGACTTCTTGTTGCCGGAGATATATATACAACCCCGTTTCTTCAAACATTCTAATATGGTTTCCTACTATTTGTAACTGAAAGCCTTCCCTAACTAATTCCCTAAGTTAGGATTTCATTGCCTGAAGTAGTACAACCCTTATATCATAGGTCATAACTTTATTTCTCAAATCAGATATTTTTTAAAACCCTGGAGCTCTGAACCTAAGCCAACCTACTGGGCTCTGTTGATCGCAGTGAACCCAAGAAGAACACACAAAAACACTTTAGTAATTACCTATAGGAGGCAGGAAAAATGGAGTGGATGGTGATAAAGATGAGAGATTTCTCGAAAAATACCTGTTACATTGTTTTGATGTTTTTTAACCATGAATATATAGTCTATCCAAACTATGTAAATAACTTTTTAAAAGAAAGCAAGTACACCAAAGAAGGATGTATTAGCCTTATACATTTTCTGTCAAGAAATCAACAAAATGTTACCTTTTTTGGGTCTAGCAAATAATTCAACATCCTTTTCTGTAAAAGTCTTCTTTTCCGCTGTTAATAACTGTAGGCAGATAATAATAATAATATAGTAACTTATGTGACAAAGGCTAAAAATCAAGAGTATTTTGTAAAATATTCAAAACTTTAAACTACACCTTCCTTAACATATTCCTCTGTTTTCCTTTATTTATATTTACCAGTAATTATTCCCAAAGTATGTTCTCCTCATATACTTACAAATGTATTTCCCTGAATCTAAACAGAAAGCTGTCCAACATTTAGCTTATAATAGCATTTCTTTGTAAGTATTTCAAAGTTACCATATACAAAAATTAATCAGAATATTTCATTGTCAAAAGATTCTGAATATATAAGCACTTTATAAATATACTTCTTATAAAGAATAGAAGGCTCAAAGCTCTGAGAATGTTCTAGTATGTATCCTTCATTTACAAAGAAATACAAAGGTTCTGTATGGCATTAGGAGGTGAATACTAACGTGCCACAATTATTAACAGAATTCGAGGATGAGGGAAAAAAGATAATGTGCCAATGACAGTGTCCTGAAAGAAAATAAGAAAGGGAATTCCAAAAATATATAATTACAGTGGCCTGAACACTCAGGAATCTACGATTTATCCTTTGGCACTAGGGGAAATTATTTTAAAACTACTTTTACCGGAGTCCCAGAAGTATCCTGAAATCCTTCTTCACACCTGAGCCATGCTTCAGAGAGGGAAGCAGCTGTCCCCACTGTCCTGAGACCTGCTCTTCTGAAATGCTGTGGACTCTCTCCTGGAAAGGATGAGCATCCTATATCCCAATTTCTTTTTCTCTGTAGAGATGATTTTTAAAGAAGAAAAAAAAAAAAGAACTTAACTTCATTGAAAATACATTAAGTTGACAACAATATGGAAACTCAAGCAGTGGTAAAGGCATAGGTTTTTAATGTCTCTGAATCCCCACGTAAGGAAATAGTAATGAGGGGCGGCCAGTTGGCTCAGTTGGTTAGAGTGCAGTGCTCGTAACACCAAGGTTGCCGGTTTGATTCCCACATGTGCTAGTGAGCTGCACCCTCCACAACTACCGTATTTGCCGGCGTATAAGACGATTTTTTGGCCCTGAAAAATATGCCTCCAAGTGGGGGGTCGTCTTNCGTATAAGACGATTTTTTGGCCCTGAAAAATATGCCTCCAAGTGGGGGGTCGTCTTATACGCCAGGTACACTTCAGATAGACTGCCCATATAACAAACTCTGTATTTTGAGTGGAAATCTTAGGGGGTCGTCTTATACGCCCAGTCGTCTTATACGCCGGCAAATACGGTAGATTGAAAACAATGACTTGACTTGGAGCTGATGGGTCCTGGAAAAGCACACTGTTCCCCAATAAATTTTAAAAAAAGAAAGAATAATAAGATAGCAAACCATAAAGTGCACAGACAACACCTACAGCTAGTCAAAAAAGTCCAAAATACAAATGGGTAAGGATAAACAACCCTCAAAACTCATGCATGGTATATCTGAAAGGCAAGAAGCTGAGAGAAGCAAGGGAGCAAAGGAGGACCTGAGCACATAGACATCTGGTGGTCACTAGGAAGTGGAGCAGGCAATCTGAGAATGGTATCTGAAAAGGGGTGAGGGAAAGGGTTCCACCCAAGAACCAAAGGGGTGTGGGCAGTCTAGGACACTCAAAAACCAGTCAGCCAGGACCACCTTCCCAGATAAGGCCCAACACTGAGGAGAGACCGTAAGTAGTGGAATCTGCTCAGCAGCACAGAGATGAAAGAGGAAAAACAAAGAAAAGCCCAAATGGAGTGGTAGACGGGAGCAGAACCAGAAAATATCTAAATAACAAATAAATAAGTAGCCATATTTTTGCAATTTACAAGGAAATAACAGAAGTTATAAAAGCTATCTTAAATTCTGCCTTCTAAAAATTAAGAAAAACTGTAACATAAAATAAGCAACAGAAAGGGATTAAAGCCAAATTCTACACAAAGTTATTGTTAGGGAAAAAAGGAACAGAATAACATCCTAACACACAAAGAAAGCACACCAAAGACATGCCCATAAAACTGAAAAAACTGTAACCTATTTCATCAGGTCTTTGAATAACATCACTTGGTTCAACATCATTTCATTATAATATTGATGAGAAAATAAGAACTGATTCCCAGCCAGGGCAACTGCTGCATGTTCTCCCCATGTCTGTATGGGTTTTCTTGGCGTGCTCCAGTATCCTCCCACATCCCAAAGCCACGCAAGTGGGATGACTGGCATGTCTCAATTGTCCCAGTGTGGATGAGTGGGAGTGGGTATGAGTTTGCCCTGTAAACGGAAGGGTGTGCTGTCCAGTGTGTATTCCTGCCTGGCACCTTGAGCTTCAGGAATAGGCTCTGACCACCCTGAACAGAAATAACTGAGTTGGAAAATAATTATCCCACTTGTTTTTATTATTCTTTCTTAAATGTTATGTATAGCTCATATTATTTCAATATTTAATATTAGAAGTGTTTTCAGTCTTTATTTAGAAGTTTGGTGATGTTTTTGTGACCAGAAATATGCTACCTACTTAACTTTTGTTTCTATAACTCCTGTTAGCTTAAGGTCAAACTGGTTTCATTATACATCATTTTGCTTAAAGTTGCAGTTTTTAAAAACATATTCACAATGTTAAGTGAGGACTTAACTGTATTTTAAAGGCATTCAGATTATCAAAACTCAGAAACAAAACGACAAAACATAAAACATGGACTAAAATAAAAAGTCACCATATGCTTTCCTACACACTTTAATCTATATGTTGGAGAGTATTTAATTTGCTTATTGGCTTAGTGCCTGTCTTTGAATATTTGTTAATTATGCTAATAATGATTTTGTGCATTTGAATAGAACACTCACATTTTTTACAGCCTCCTTAGTACAATCCTGAAATAGGATAAAAATGAATAAAACCGGAGATACCTTGATATTTAGTAACTAGTTAAGGCTTCGTTATATTAAGTTACTTGCTAGTTAGTGGTAAAGCAGGATCAATATTTCAATCCTAGCATTTTGTTCAATACACCTAATGTCAATAAGATCATTAGCAGAAATCATCCATTAAAACATTACCTCAGAGGGGGCGGGCCGAGTGGCTCCGTTGGTTAAGAGCATGAGCTTTGAGCAACACGGTCGCAGGTTCGATTCCCAATTGAGCCAGTGAGCTGCACCTGAGCTGAGCTGCTGCTGAGCTGCCAATAGATGGCAGGATGGCTCAGCTGGTGAGAGCACATGCTCCTAACAACAAGGTTGCCGGTTCGACCCCCACATGGGATGGTAGGCTGCGTTCCCCGCAACTAAGATTGAGCACAGCACCTTGAGCTGAGCGGCCGCAAGCTGCCGGAGCTGAGCTTGCTGCGCCCTCCACAACTCAGACTGAAGGACAACTTGGCTGTTCCCCTTCCCCAATAAAAAAAAAAAAAATTTTTTTAAAGAAAAATTACCTCAGAAAACAGGACTATATTAGAAGAAACCCAAGAACACGTACATATCACAAATAACATCTCAAGAGAAACAGAAGGTAATGAAGAAAAAATTTTAAAGTTTACCCTCCCATAATGAGAAAGTAAAAGGATTCAAGAGAAATATAACCATCCATTCATTCTCATGATCCAACATACAGATAATAGGAATCCCCAAAGAAGAAAACCAAGGCAATGAGACAGAACAAATACTAAAAAGTACAATTCCAAAAAACCTTTACTGAAATTTAAAAAAGGAAACTACATATTGAAGCATACCACATACATGAGTATATCAACCCAGAAGTAATCAAAACAAGATACATCTTAGAAAATAGACTTTCTAAAAAATTCTTTGAACTTCTAGAAAAAAACAAAAATGACATACAAGTGAATAAAAATTACATTATCAAACGTTGACAGCAACGTTTTATGTCAGAGGACATAGAACAACATGTTTAAGATACTCAAATGAAGAAAATATGGGCCAAGGAGTTTGTATCCAGCAACAATGATAACAGTGATTTATTTTCTCCAAACTCTCTTTGTTTTGTTTTGTTTTGACAAATGTCTACAACAGACATTTACTCATTTCATAAGTTTTTAAGTTCATATTTTATTTTAAGAAATATTTTAGGTTTACACTTGGAATCAAATTAAGGTCAACTACTGCAAGTTTATCACTGAATCACAAATAAAACCCAGGGATGTCTGAAATATGGCAACATTAGGGCCACTCCTTGAACTCTTCCCTTGAAGTTACAAGTTGAACAGCTATAATTCAACATAAGATTCCACAACATAACACACAAACACACAAACACATCTGAGAGATCCGTGCATCTAAATATCTGAAGGTGGGTGAATCAGGGCAAACAAAGGAGAGGGGGAGGGAGAAGTGTAGAGACAGGGGCACAGACACAACCCAGAGCTCACTGCGGTTCCAGGAGAAGGGAGGAATCAAACTGCAGGTGCACTCTCTGTGGCCCCAGCAATTCTACCTGAAGAAGCATGTATATAATAGGGCTAAACCCAGAGATCGGGTCAGAGACCTCAGGGCAAAGACCAAATAAAAAAGTGAGACAACTACAGTCTAACAGCCCTCACTGCCAGGCAGAAAACAGGGTAGCAGAGCCTGGCCACCTACCTGCACTCTCCCAGAGCTCGCCTCTCCTACACTCTCGCAATGTTAGCAGCAGGCCCCAGAAAGGAAAAAAGAATGGGAGCAGTGTCGGATTCGAGAGAAGAGTATCTACAGCCCTGAGAACTGGACAGTTCCTGAGAGGCAGACACATACTGTGGATAATTCCAGTGACAAGGCAGGAGCTATAGGGGCGAGGCAGCTATGGTCTGACGGAAGCCATTACTTAGAGGAGAAGAAAGCTAGAAACACACCAGCAGCCTCTCCCAGCCCACCCTGACCCCATCTATCCGAGCTGATCCCAGTGGAAGCACCCAGAGGTGCTGAGGTGCACAGCTCTACAACTGGCTGCAGGGGGGCAGCACTGGGATTTCATGGGCTCTGAACCCAATCACCCACCACACCCTCCACAGGGGTGGTGCCCTGAGACCAAAGCAACCTGGTGACAGAGATGCCCATCTCCCCAGGAAATCCCTCATTGCCTAAGACATGGGAACAGCTCAAGAAAAAATAAAACACTCCAGCGAAAAAGAAAATACACCACTCCAGTGTTACCTACTGGAAAGCAAAAAAAAAAGACCTCTTCATATCAACTGCTACAGAATTCACTCCCAAAGATGCACAGGAAAACAACTGTCCAGTAATTGCTATATCAAACCAAAGTAAGAAGGCAGCTCAGAAAGACAAATCTCCACAAAATAAACTTAAAGACATGGAAATGTGACTTAAATGATGGAGAATTCAAGATTGCAGATCTGAAAAATCTTAACAAGATGCAAGAAAACTCAGGCAGTTTAATGAACTCAGAAATAAAAATCAATGAACAAAATAAACATTTTACCAAAAAGACTGAAATTTTTTAAAAGAGCCAAATAAAAATTATGGAAATAAAGAACTCAATAAAAGAAATGAAGAATGAAATAGCCAGCTTAGAAAATAGAGCTGAAGACATGGAGGAAAGAATGATATCAAAGGTAGAAACTTGTAAATGACACACATGGAAGAAGAGAGACTTGAGAATTAAAAGAAATGAAAGAACTTTATAAAAACTACCTGACTCCAACAGAAAAAACAATATAAGAATAATGGGTATGCCAGACGGAGAAGAGAGAAAGAAGAGCATGGAGAGTCTATTCAAACAAATAGTTAATAAGAACTTCCCAAACCTATGGAAAGAACTGGATCCTCAA